CAAGCCCAGCCCAATGTAATTTATAAAAATATTTTCCAACCCCAGCCCGACCCATTATAATTTTAAAAAATTTTTCTCAAACCTGGACAACAGATAATGATTTTGAAATTTTTTTTCCAAGCCTGAAGCTTCCAATAAAAAAAATAAACTTAAATTACTTTATCAAAGAATTGAATTATAAAATTTAAGATAGAAGGGGGCTGAGTTGGAAAGAACGTTTGCCTATGTCGTTGAGTCTGGGAATCGAATCTCGTAGATTTAAAAAAAATATATAATTTAACATTAAAGGTTTATAGTCTCCTTCGATTTATTAACATTAAGATGATAGGAAAGTTGATAGAAAAAATAAAAATAACATAAAACGTTCATTTCTTGATTAAATCATATCTATACTAAAAAATATGCATAAATATTTATTTTTATTTATGCGTACAATATATTTTTAAATATATTTTGCTTATAATTTCTTACATTTTAGATATCATCTATTTCAGCTTACATCTGATGATATTCTCGCAATTCCTCGAGAGTATAACCTAATATTGACTCCTCTGCTGGTTCAGTGCATTATTTTATAAATTTTCTATTTTGTTTTTATTTTAGATAACTGTCCCCATCTTATCTCCACTCTGCCATTAATAATGAACAAATATAAAATAAACCTTCATATGATCATGATAGGCAAGTCCCCAACTAGACAAAATATTTTTTTTGGTGATAGCCACCCAACTACTAGGGACTAATATTGACCCCTCAAAGGTTTAGTACAGTATTTTAATGCTCTTATAATTTCAATAATAATATTTTTTTATATTTGTCTGATTTCCTTATTTTTCTAGACTAACCCAACCTTAATCCTTCACATTGCTACAAAACATGATGAATCTAAAGATCAGCGAAGAAAAAAATGGCGACTCAACAAACGCTTTACCCTTTCTAGAATTACTGGTCGCCAGTACAGGAGCTGCACCTGATATTAACCCCTGCAGGTTTATTTTGTTTTTTTATTTAATATTATATATTTTTATATTTATTTTATAGTTATCCAGTTGCCTCCAATGATTTCTATCACCAATACTACAATCCCTATTACACCTCTACCATGCATATTTCAACATATATTTGATGATCACCACTCATCTATGTTAGATATCGGCAGAATGACAGAAATATGCGCCTTCTGAATGCAAAAATGTGGAATGGTGAAAAATTATCTAAAAGCGCAAATAAAAAAATTCAATTTTCTACATGTTGCATGAATGGGTAGGTAATTTTATCGAAATTTTCCCCTTATCCATATTTAATACTTTTATTTACCTAGGAGCAATGTTTATCATCCTACTTTTTAACAAATATAATAGCATTTAATTCTGCACTATCATTGACTTCACTAAGAGTTAAATAAATAATACTTTGTCCAATTCTCACTCCGCTAATTATACCTTTAAATTAATGGATAGGTTCACCATCGCATTGGTTCTCTCCTATCAACATTAGTTAGGGGACACTAGTGATCTGCATCGGGCCTAATTTTTCAAGCCCTGCCCTGCCCGAAATTTTTTAAAATGGTTTTGCTGGCCCAGCCCGAACCCGATTTTTTTTAAAAAGTTTTACCGCTACGGCCCGAACCCGAATTTTTTTTTAAAAAAATTAACCGGCTCAGCCCGAATTTATTTAAATATAGAAATTAATTTTTGTAATTACTCAAAATAAAAGACATATGTTATATGGCGTTTAGTTTCAATAAATAAAATCAAAAATTTTTATTTTACATAAAAAATTCAATATAAAATTGATAAATTTAGATATATTTAAAAAAATTTCCAAGGTCCGACCCGGCCCGATTTTAATATTAGTAAAAACTGGATTCAGGCCTCGGGCCGGGCCTAACTTTGCAGATCTCTAGGGGACACCCCTAAATTTGCACAAATATATATATAATAATAAAAATGAAATACATAACAGGCATAATCAGGTTACTTTTTTAGATCGTTTTCTTTTAATGGAATGCAGGAAATTATTCAGAGTTATAACTCCTTTGGTTTTCAATTTATGAGAGTAACTTCTATGGTCACGAATGGTTCCTAACATATCTTTAAAAATAAAATCTACTCCAAGTTTTGACAAGTTATCGTAATAATCCTACTTAATCGGAAATAGGGCTATTATTACCTGGCGACGGCAGTGATCATATAGCTCATAGAAATATTATCCCAAGAACTATAGCTGGTCCTTTAAGACGTATTAAAGAGTTCAACTCATTATAATTGCCCTTGCAAATATGATCTTTTTCCAGAGGCGATATTGGATACCACTCATCTATTCATTACAGAAACTCAAATAATAAATATGTTACCTGTAGAGAGTACTATGCCTATCGCTTTGTAGTGAGGCAGGATGATGTGAATATTATTTAAGAACCAAACGTTTTATACCAATATATCGTGGGCAGTTATGCCAAACAGGAAACGCTTCGATTAAATTATATACATAATAATCAGTCCAAATTATACGCAGAACTCTATCAAAGCGTTCATGATTCTATTTTAGAGGAGGATACTAATGCTAATTATCTTGGCAGGAGAATTATTTTGCCTTCTTCTACCTGTGGCCCAAGGCATATGCATCAGCTTTATCAGGACGCGAAGGCTATTGTACGCTTCTTTGGTAAGCCCTCATTATTCATTACTTCCACCTGCAACCCATGGGATGAAATTATGCGTGAATTATTTCTTCATCAGACTCCAAACGACCGCCCGTATTTGTCGCTTTTTTCATCAAAAATTAAAATGTCTTAAAATGGATTTGCTCAAAATTTTAACAGAAACACGAAATAATAATTAATCCCCATTTTTTAAAAAAATTAGCCTAAATTTATATGGATTGACATTAAAAACAAATTTCTTAAAAAATATATAAATAACAATTAAGTTTTTTTTCCCCCTTGTTTTTTTTATTGTTGCTAATTATATAAAAATATAAATTAATTAAGTGATATTACATTATTAGTAAAATAAATTAATAAAATAACATAGATTAATTATACATTAATATAAAGCGCTAACATTATAATAATATGCAACAAAATGGCCAAAGTCTATACTATGCATATAGGATGTACAATTACGGCGTTTCGGATATTGAAAAAATAATATTGAATGACATATTTGTAATTTAAATAAATAGCATTATTTGTTTCTTAACAGAAAGGTATGGCCCTTATCAAATTCTTTGATAAATAATTTCGGAAATTCAAGATATACACTAAATTTATCTGAAAAACAACAATAAGCCAATGGAATAAGCAATAATTTATTTTCAAGATATAATTTTAATTGTTCATAATACAAAAAAGTATAAAAATCATCTTTTTATATATAAAAACTTGAATAAAATAAATATATTGACTACATATTAAATAGGGCTAGAAATCAATATCAATTTTTTTACAGGATAAAATATTATTATTTATATTTCACAGATAACAAATAATGATGCCAACATTAATAATTCAGCATTATAAAAAAAATCAATTTTGTCTATAGTATTGTTGCAGTGTATGCAATTTCAATTTCAATCCATATTTTTCTCAATAACTTAATTTTTTTGGGTTATCTCCAATAAAACAGGGTATGATTTGTTATTTCTTATAAAAATATTAGGACAGACCTGATTTTGCCATGACTCTCTATTGTGATATTGATAACATTTTTTAAATGTGTGACCAGGATTTTCCAGTTTCCCCTATTACGTATTCTTTTGATGGCTACCTTTGTAAATTTCATATCAGCTGGCTTGACATGAGGATGTTTATGTTTATAATGTTCATGTATCTTGTCATTTCTTATTTTAGAAGTTTTACAATTAATGTAATTACACTTTACCTTAAATAAGGTTCTGTTACTTGGCATCGAAAGAAATAATTATTATAATATAATTTTTTTACATATTATGTTTTTTATTATTCTTTGCTTGCTGATATATGTTTTTAAGCATGACTCAAAAAATTACCTAAAATTTATCCTGCTAAAATCTAGAAATTTATTAAAAAACATAATATAAATATATTAACCTCTAAGAAACGTACCAAATAGGAAATGTTTAAATATTAACTTATAAAATGGTAAATGAAAATGGTTGACAAAGAAAGTTTATATTATTTATTAATTGACAAATATCTTTAATTTAATTGACATTTGTCAGAAAATCGACGATAACCATCATAATCGTATCAATAAATGGATTTAAAAAGATTATAATTCAAATCAAAAATTACCCCCTAAAAATCAATACCTATTCCCAATAAATTTATGCTTACCCCTAAAAAATGAATATCAACCCCCCAAAATCAATACCTACCCCCAAAAATGCCAATATGTTTTTGAGGCATTTGTCTCCTACCCCCCCCCCCCCCCTTCCCCCGGCCATGTAGGCGCTGCTCGCAGGAAAGTCGTAAGTGAACCGAGCAATGATATCAATCTGAAGGAGGAGAGTATTAAATTAAATAAAAATCATTGGCATATTGATAATATAAGTTATTAAGAGATTTTAAAAAAAATTATTTATTAAAGATAATATTTCATTCGAAGAAAGATTATTATCCCTGATCATTATATAGATAAATACTATGTTTTGGAAAATCTTGATTATGATGTAGAATATCTTGTTAAATTCTACAGGAACTGTGATAAAGAAAGACCTGTAGCCAGAAAAGTATCGTTATACAATTAGAACATTCTTACCCGACCTTGGGAACGAATACACATTGATTTGACAGGCCCAGTTTTTGGGAAATATTGGTTAATTTGCGTAGACGCCGTGGGTTGAAGTTGCAATTTTAACACATATTAATTCAACCAGTGTAATAAATAATCTGCATATTTATTTCTCTAGATTTAATTTACCTCGTTGCATTGTTTCAGTTAATGATACTCAGTTTACTGTATCTGAATTCAAAAAGTTTCTTTTTAAAAACAACATAAAATATTTTAGATCGTCCCTTATTGACATGGGCCTATGGAAATTATGAAATTAATCAAGATATTTGTCATTCTAAAGAATATGAAATGAAAAGGGTCATTAGGCTCCTTTTTTTTATATAATTGAATAATATTTGGGCCTTTAATGTTTGAAATATTTTGGCTTGCATTGGGATTGATAATTGGATGAAAAAAAGATATAATTGGGGAATTTTCAATAACTTTGTGTGTTTGCTAATTATTATTAAAGAGTGTATAGTTTTATTTAAATTAAATACCTCATCATTCAAAATCAGCAGATCACTGGAACTGGGCATTGTATGAGAAGATAATATAATTTGGGAATCTTCAGTAAAAGATTTGTGCTAATTATTAAATAAAGAATAATTAAAATTTGTTTATTCATGAAAATATCTGAATATCCTCATTTATTCCCTTCAAAATTATAAAAGAAATCTTATTTAAATTAAGTACCTCATTATTCAAAATCAGCAGATCACTGGAACTGGGCATTGTATGAGAAGATAATATAATTTGGGAATCTTCAATAAAAGATTCATGCTAATTATTAAATAAAGAGTGGTTAAAATTTGTTTACTTATGAAAATCTTAATTTTAATAAAAATTTTATTCTTAATTAAGATATAGAAAAGTGGAAAATATTTCATAATTTATTCACTTCAGAATTATCAAACAAATCTTATTTAAATTAAGTACCTCATCATTCAAAATCACCAGATCACTGGAACTGGGCATTGTATGAGATAATATAATTTGGGAATCTTCAGTAAAAGATTTGTGCTACTTATTAAATAAAGAATAATTAAAATTTGTTTATTCATGAAAATATCTGAATATCCTCATTTATTCCCTTCAAAATTATAAAAGAAATCTTATTTAAATTAAGTACCTCATTATTCAAAATCAGCAGATCACTGGAACTGGGCATTGTATGAGAAGATAATATAATTTGGGAATCTTCAATAAAAGATTCATGCTAATTATTAAATAAAGAGTGGTTAAAATTTGTTTACTTATGAAAATCTTAATTTTAATAAAAATTTTATTCTTAATTAAGATATAGAAAAGTGGAAAATATTTCATAATTTATTCACTTCAGAATTATCAAACAAATCTTATTTAAATTAAGTACCTCATCATTCAAAATCACCAGATCACTGGAACTGGGCATTGTATGAGATAATATAATTTGGGAATCTTCAGTAAAAGATTTGAGCTAATTATTAAATAAAGATTAATTAAAATTTGTTCATGAAAATATCTGAATATCCTCATTTATTCCCTTCAAAATTATAAAACAAATCTTATTTAAATTAAGTACCTCATTATTCAAAATCAGCAGATCACTGGAACTGGGCATTGTATGAGATAATATAATTTGGGAATCTTCAATAAAAGATTTGTGCTAATTATTAAATAAAGAGTAGTGAAAATTTTAGGCAAATGACTTATTTTATTCTTAATTATAATATATAAATTTTTTTTTAACAAAAGTTGAAATATTTAAATATTCTTATAATTTATTTCCTTCAAAATTGATAAAGGGCATAATAAAAATGTACCTATATATTAAAAATCTTATCTTTAATAAAAATTAAAAGTATTATGCTCAAATTATAGATGAAGAATTGGTTTCTACTAATTCACAAAATTTAAGGTTATTTTTACTTATATTTATTGTCATGAATTAAAATAATATATATAAAAAATTACTTTTTGGAAGTAAGATGTTATTGATTTTTTTTGTAACTTGGTTTCAACCCCATTTGTGATATTGAATGGAATATCTTTATTTAAGGATACCCAATTATTATCCTTTTTGATAGCTATCTTTGTAAATTTGATATCAGATAACTTGACATGAGGATGTTTATGTTTATAATGGTTATTTATTTTGTCACTTCTTATTTTAGAAGTTTTACAATTAATATAGTCACATTTGACTTTATATATTGTTTTGTTACTTGGCATCTAGAATAAAAATGAAATAAATATTTAGATAATATTTTTTTACTCATAACTTATATTTTTGATAATGTTTTCTTAAAAGATTCCTATTATATTATATGTAAGCTTAATGCATGGTCACAAAAAATATAATATTTTTTGTTATTTATGCCAAAACAATCATGGATCAATATTTCCTCCATTATACACTTCACAATTGATTTCTTTATTTCTTAGTGTCCAACAATTTTTAGAAATGTATGATGCTTTGAAATCATAGTTTCTTTAAATTAACAATCCTAATAAATTTTGCAAATAATTGAAAACAGGCATATTTGTGATTTGCCCATTCATTTATCTTCAAATAAAGTCTGAGAAATGATATATTTTAATCATTGAAATTAGAGACCTTCACTGGCATTGATTTCTTCATCCAGCCTAGGTCATAAGTAAAAATAATTTTCAGGCCCAGTTCATGTTTAATGGAAATCCAAACCCAAACCACATCATAGGTTTCAAAGATTATTCCCAAGCCATATCCAAAAATTTAATTTATTGTTAACAAAAATAAACAATATTTCAGTATATGGAATCACTTTGTCAATTCATTTAATTGAAATCTTTTCTTAAATCAATAATCAAATGAGAGGAATAGATTATCTGTTCATTCTCCCAAGATTTCTATAAATATTTAGAAAAAAGGCCAAATATATTATGGAAAATTTGATGTTATATAAAATTTATCTAATAATGAAATAAAAAATTTATCAATTCTTTTAACAAATTTTTTATCACACAATGGTTTTCACCTCTCACTTATAATTTTGTATATAATTTACACTTACCTCAAAGAATCATTTATCATAAATAGAAATCAATTATGGGTCCAACCTGATTGCCTCACAAAAATGTGGTAATATTTACCCCATTGAAAATGATTATTTAAAAAATTATTAGCAAAAATAATTGCCATGGTTCAAAACCCAGATAACTTATTAAGTATACATATTAAGATTAAATAAAAATAGCTTCATTCTTTATTATATTTATTTATCTATCATCAAATTAAGGAAAATAGCCCCAAATCCAATGGTATGACTGAACGCTATATCCAAGACGCGTTTCCACGCTGAAAGGAGATGTGGGACCAGTTAAATTTGGCAAATTTTTAACTACTCACCGAAATATTCCAAATGCTACCGGCAAATTCCTAGCCGAAACGATGTTTGGAAGGCCGCTCAGAAAGACGTTAGATCAGTAGAAACAATTCATAAGAGAACGGGCGGAAAACGCTTGTGGAAACAAAAATATTATAAAAATAGGAACGTTTAGTTGCATGAATTTGAAAATAAGCAAAAGGTTTGGGTAGATTGCGGGTTGGTATGAAGGAGCAGTGGTTCAACATAAAAGTGCGATATTGTATGATGTTGAGTCTAATGAAATTATAAAAAACAAGCATGCCGACTAACTGAAGGATGCCCACCTACAAGCTAAGGAAATACTCTTAACAATGACGGAAGATTTGGACAGTGCTGAACACAATGGAAACACAAATCTTTAAAAGGAGTTTCGAAACCCTCACAACGTTATCATGACTAATTCAATTTGTAGTGGGAATACCTAATGACTTTAAATAAATTGTATTTAGTTTTAGGATACAATTTATACAATTATATAATAACTGATTGATTATCGAATATGTACTTTCGATGAATATATAAACATATTATTGTTAAGTTATTATCATCTACCAGGTCTACCACGTACTAGTAGACTACTAAAATTTTTTTAAAATGTCGCACCATAAAACTTAAATAACACAATTCTACTACATTGTTGAAATTTTCGAAATATAATAGAATCTCCAACATTCTAAAAAATTACAAAAATCATATCTTTGAAAATTTATACAAATGATATTTATGAAAACAGTTAAATTTGCGATGGCCTCCCCCCCCCCATTGGTTACGCGCCTGCTTCACTCGTACAAAAAATGTTTCACTTTCCAATTAATCAACTATATTCATCCCATCCATATTTTTGAAATCAATAAAATAAATTCTATATAAAGCCACAAATCTAAGCCCATCAGCTGAATTAAAATTTTTTTAATAAAAGTTTGGCATTAGTGCAATATCAACAAGAAATCACTCCCATTAATATAGATATTATGTTAAATACTAAAATTTATTTCTAAAATAAAATAAGTAACCATGCCATTTCATGGATTTTTTTTAATAGGCTTTCTTAAATCATTCAGTGTAAATTTTATCACTGAATTAGGTGATAATACCTTTATATTGGCTGTAATTTTATCTACTAAAAAGCACCCTGTACCATTATTTATTGGTAGCCTTTTGGCATTATCGATTGTAGACATAATTTCAAGTATAATTATAAATAAATATAATGAGAACATAAAATATTTATATTATATGAATTATAATTAATATTGTATAATCACATAGACATTTATTATTTACATGTATAAATATCCAATACAAAAATAATAAATAAAACAGTTATACATATTTGCAAACCTTTTTTTTATATAAAGTAAACTTTACAGAGCTTTTTATACATTTATGAAACATTTATATTTAATTTTTGATATATTAAATATATTTATCAAATAACTTGAATTATATTCATAAAATATAATGTGCTTTTATTTTAATACAATAAAAAATATTATTATTAACCATTAATTTTACCTACAAGATCTTTAAAAATATCTTTAAAAAACAGTTGCATTAAAAGTTTGGCTGGAAATAACCTATTAAATATACATCTTGCTTCACTTAATATATATGTCTACTTAAGTGTTTAATTGTATAGTAAAAAATTATGATATTTAATCACAAATTTACAAATCAATTTGTGATATTTTGACATGATACAAAAATGTAACAAAAATTGCATAAGTGCCTTTTTAATTTTCTTTTATAAATTAACTTATTATTTTTTTAAAAAAAAATAAATAAAAAATTATTTTAGCTGATAAATTTTTTTTAACCATCTAAAAAGTTATAGAGCTCCTCTTTTTGTGAAATCCTGTTATTCCCCCCCCCTTCCCCCAAATATGGTAGAAATAGGCAAAGATCTTGGATGATAAGAAAGTCATGACAACAAAACAAACTTTTCAATTGCTATTGCATGGGGGTTGGGTGGAGGGTGGGAGCTATAATGCTGGTATCCCTTCCCTTTAGAGAAATTGAGATCCATACTAGAATATGCAAGGATTTAGCCCACCCATCCAGGTGGGCATGGGGACCTTCTAAAATAATTTAAAAAATGGGAAGGTGATGAATGGGTTAAAAAAATTTAAAACAATGAGCAGCAAATGGGAAAGGGAATTTTAAATATGGGGAAAAGGGGGGGGGGTGAGCAGGACTTCTATTAAAAATTATTTTTTTAATTATAGAATATTGCATATTTTATAAATTTAATTTTTAAAAACATTTTAATAAATAAAGAACCAACCAGCCAATAAAATAATTTTTAAACATTAGGTAAGCAGGTTAAACAAATTTTTTAGATAAGTGGGCAAGTAAATTAAAATAATAGGTTGTGCGTGGTAGGTGAAAATTTATGTAAAATCAAGTAAGTGGGCTTGTTGGCTAAAACCTGTGCATTGCAAACCTCTGATCAATACCCAATAGAAAAAAAAGACATGATTTTGCAGAGAATATTAACCAAAAACATTTTTATGTGCAATGCAAGTTTGAAAACACTTATTCCCAAAATGTTTCAAATTTTATAAAAAATATTTTTATATCATTTAAGATTTATTAAAATTATGTTGAATTTTTTTAAAATACTTTTAAAATTAGGTTGTTGTTGCATTTTTATATTTTAAAAAAAATTTCATGATTTTTTTTATAAGATGTTTTAGTTGTAAAATTATATATTTATTAAAAAATTAAATTTTAATAACTTTGACTAGTAATCGGTTAAAAAATAAAATTGAAGGTTTTAGATAAATCTATCAGAAAATACCACAGATAACCAATAATTAATTTTAAAGATTACTGGAAAAAATTATCACCATTGATTTCGAAATTTACTATTAACTACTTCATAAATTAAATATTAAAATTTCAAATTAAACTATTTTTTTAAAAATGTGGCATAAAGCTACCTTTTAAACAAAAGTAACATTCTACTGTTAACGATATAAAAAAAGGTAGCTCACTACTTGAACAATACTGGGAATTGCTCTTTCTTTACAAATTTGCCAGTTTCCATAAATATCATCTTAAGCTGATGGAAAATTTTCAAATTAAAATAATGACTATAATCCAAATGCATTTAAAGAGGGGACCTGGACCTAAAACTATCTAGTAAAATTTATAGCAAACAAAAGCAAGGCTTTAAATAGTATTGTTAAATGGCTTGATTTGAGCTGGGTTTTAAAAACGGCTAACTCAATATTTTATCCAGAAAAATATAATGCAAGCTTGAAGATTTTGCTCATAGATGGCACACCTATTTGGGCATCTATTAACGAAATCTCGAGGCTTATGCAATATTTTTATAGCTAAAATATTAAGTTATTCGTTGATAAAATCGGCTCAAATCGAGCCGTTTAACAACACCAGCTTTAAGCCCGCGAAATTATTTGATCAGGTTTGATTCAGGTTCAAAATCAGATCAGAATCTTGAACCTGGTGAGGTTTAAGGTTGTGGGTTTAAGAAAAGTAAGTTAAGCCTAAATAATTATTTTTATTAAAAATTAAGAATATATGTTCGTAGATAGTAATAACTATAATTGCAAATTTTTTAGGCTTAATTGGTCAATTATCTGAATACATTCCACAAAAAATTTATTTGAATTATGTTATTGCAATTCTTTTTCTATTTTTCGGAATCAAAATGGCGTTTGAAGGTAAAATTAAAAAAAAATAAAACAATGATAATACTCTACCTTTTAGCCTATTCTATGTCAGACGATCAAACAAGTAAGGAATACGAAGAAATCGATGATAAGATAACTAAATTTCATAAAGAAGTATAATTAAAATATAGGTTAAAATATTAATTAATATTTATCATTATGCACAATAAAATAGTCAGCTCAATCACCTACTACTTCACCCAGATTTTCATTTCCTAGCAGTATTACCAAACGATTCAGCTTAAATAATGGAAAAAACAAACTGAATAATACAACATCAGATGACGTTAGTAATTCTATACTCAAAGATGCTATTATTGATAGTGAGTCAACCAAAAATGGAATTTATAACCGCATTTTAGGTAAAAATGCAAAATTTTGGAGAACTATTTGCGAAGCCTTTGCTCTAAATTTTATGGCAGAGATGGGAGATCGTTCCCAAATTACAATCATATCATTGTCAGCCAATCAAGTATATTTAGCATCATGTATATAATTATTTTAAATCAATGTTGTTTAATTGTTTGTATATATTTATTATTATTGTATTGATACAATTTATTAATGAGCACTAATAAATATTTGTTTTATTAAATTTAAAAATGAGAAGCAGGGTAGGGGCTGCATAATCTTTTAAATGACTAACAAATTAAAATGAGTATTAATTATTTTATTCATATATTTAGAATTTTTTCGGTGTTTGTTGTGGAGCCATATTTGCCCATATCATTTGTTTAGTTTTGGCTTTAACAATTGGTATTTACGCTATCAAATATTTGTCCTTAAAAACAGGTAATTCTATTTGATTTTTAAAAATGAATTTGACATTAAGGTCTCAATAGTAAAGGAGTTTTTTTCAAGCGGTGCGGTATTTAAAACTATAGAAATCACAGCTGATTCTTCACAGCGATAATAATTTTCTACTTCGCAACATAATGTTTTTCAAATTTTATCATAGCGTTTTCATCGTTTCGCTCCATATTAAGTTATACCTATTTATTCGCGTGATTTGTAAATAACGCAGCGTTAAATACCCTACCGCATGAACAAAATGCTTTTACTATAAATGAGGCGTAAGATCTCGTTATAATAAGTGCAAAATATAGCCATTACATTCAGATGCGTAATTCATCGCTAAACGATAGCATAGCCATATAAATTAACGTTATATATTTTGTAAAGAGCGACATTGCAGTATTTCGCACTAACTATAATTTAGGCTTAAGTTATATAATCTTCTTAAATTGTAGTATATTAAGTTGATATGAAAGTTAAGATTAAATGATGATTTAATTTATTGAAGATTAACTTTGAAATTAACTGATATGAAAATGAAATTAAAACATGAATCTCATACGAAAATATGTATAGATTACGGAGTAAGAGATTATAATATATAATATCTGTATAATATATTTAATTTTTCTAGAAGATACAGGACTACCTATTTTTCTACATTTTCTATAACAATCTTTTATTTCCTTATAATTTATTTTTTCTTTCCATTTCATTTAAAACTTTATATTTACAATAAAATAATTATGTAATAAATATGCTTTTTACTTATTTTTTTGACTTTATTAATTTTTTAAAATCAGATGATTTCAAATACTAGCACATTTTATTATTCTTTAGATTTTCAGTAAATGGGCCTATATAAATTCATTCTTAAAGCTAAAAATAACGCCGGATAAATCCTAAAAATTAAATCTTTTTCTATATATATTAAAATTATATTTAATTTAAATCAAATACAGTAAAATGAACGAACCAAATGAAAGTAAGAGAGGTATCATGCTTAGTCCTTTAGACATGCGTTTAGTTTATAGATTTTTATTATATTTCATTTTTTTTTAAATTAGATAATATTAAAATTAGATGATATTAAAAAAATATAGCTTTTTTCCTTAATAAAACAGCAATTTACATTAGAGATTTGCAAAATTAGGTAAGAAAATTCGGTCCGGGTCGGGCCTTAAAAATTTTTTTAAATATATCTAAATTTATCAATTTTATGTTGAATTTTTTATGTAAAATAAAAATATTTGATTTTATTTATAGAAACTAGATGCCATATAACATATATTGTTTATTTTGAGTAATTACAAAAACTAATTTCTATATTTAAATAAACGGACCGGCAAAACTTTTTTAAAAAAATTTCTTTCGGGCCGGGCCAGGCAAAACTTTTTAAAAAAATTTCGAGTCGGGCCGGGCTTGGAAAATTAGGCCCGATGAGGATCACTAATTTACATTACTACGTTGAATAAAGCCGCGATTAAAAAGTGTTTGAGAAAGGCCACTAAAAAAATGAGTGTGCTGAAGAAATCATCTGATGGTAAAAATAAATATAATTAAGCCCACGTCTAGCAAGAAATAGGCAAAGGACATAATTTATCACGTAATTTTTTTTTAAAAAAAAATATAAAATTATAAATAAGAAAACAGAGCGAAAAGGTACATTTTGAAGTGATAAAAGATTGTTTTAGAAAATCCGAAATATAGGAACTTTTTGGATTAAAATTAATTATTACATTTCTTGGTTCTTATAATAGATCCAGATGTTTAAGGTCAGAAAACACCTGTACCTAATAACCAATAAATTATATGCTACCTTACCAGTATAATAGGTTTATGCTAATATCTTTAGGCGCATGACAGAAAAAAAGAATTCTGCTTGGCATTGAGGCTCGTATTATTTTTTTTCTCCGCTTTCTTCATGGTTCTGCTGTCTTTTCAAAAAAACTCAAAATTCGGGCAGGGCCAGGCAACTATATAAAAAAAATTCGGGCCGGACCAGGCATTATATAAAAATTCAGGCCGGACTGGGTTTTCATAGCATTTTTATTCACATTTTCTAATTATATATGATTTATTTATAATTAAAAGTAAAATAAAAATAATTCTAATCAAAGAATTATTATTTTTTTCTTTTATAGTTTATTTCTGATTTTTTTATTAAATAAAATATATCCAAAAATACTTTTAATTCTTTTCTTATAAAATAAGTTAAAATGTTAAATAAAAACGATGGAGATAAATAAGTTATTATTATAATGATGAAATAAAGAATGGAAAGAACTAGAAGGAAAGAAAGGCACACAACTTTTGTAAAATAATGATAAATAGATAATTTTAAAAGCAAACTATTTATTTTATTTTGTAACGATATGTTTAAATTTTATTAAATATAATTTTTTTTTCATCTTATATTTCATATTCATGAAAAAAATCAAGATAAAAAACTTAATTACTTAAAATTCTTTTGATATTTTTGTATAGATCCTTTAGTAGCTTAATATGTGCAAAATTAGTTTTAATTTCATTCAAAATTTTGTTATTTATAACCAATAGCATCATTTAGATAATGTTAGCTAAAAAAATAAGGTTATTTTAGATAATTTTAGCTAAATAGATAATGTTATCTAAAAAAGGTAATTTTGAAAATAATATAAAAAAGAAATTTTGAGCCCCCTGAGATTGTAAAGACTAGTGACGCCCCTGTTTATAACTATCTTTTGGTGTTTAGGTAGTAGATTTTTTAAATATAATACTTATTAAACCTTTTAGAAAATCGGGACGGGCTCAGGGCAGATTTTTTTTAAAATTTTGGGTCGAGCTTCAGGCAAATTTTTTTTAAATTTTGGCCGGGCTTCTGGCAATAGTACTAGAAATTTTGGACTGGGCTTCGGTCAAAAAATTCGGACCGGGCCAGACAAGCCTTTTAAGGCGTAGCTCAAAATCTTTTATTTAATATCGAAATAAAGTTTTAAAATTTTAATGAATCATGTTAAATTTTTAAATTCGCCTAGAATTATATTTTGGACATGTTTTTATTTTATATATTTAAAAATGCTTTTTTAAAATAAAATTTCAAAAGTTTGCGAATTGTATTTTTGATATTTTGGACTTAGCCATTAATATTTGCTCACCCACTATCAACACACGTATTAAAAAAAATTTTAAACACTTGTATGAATATTGTTTTTAAAAAAATAAATAAACTCAAGTGAACTACATAGGATCAGGGATATTCGTGAGTTTAGCCATGCTGACTCTCTTTTCAAATCGTGAAGCTATAATAAACCTTTTATTTTAGTTTTTTATGACCTCCGTTTATGTATTGTCCCGTAACTTTTTTGCCTCCATTTAAACCCGGTTTAAAAATTATATATTATTATAATAAAAAATTTATACTCGTTTATTTTGCCATTCATCGCGCCGTAGTCATGTTAAAAAGGTTAATAGGAATTGTCAAAATTAAGATTCCTTCATTGTCTAAACTTGTTTCATCATAGAGCTTATCACGATACTTTTTTGAACCTGTATCATTATTATTATTGTACATATCTACGTATTTATCATAATTTTTATAGCTAATCTGTATGCTTTGTAAGCGTGTCTTCATTTTTAATACCAACAGAATCATTATCCATGCAATTATCAGCACCAATATTTTTTTGTTTAAAACGTTTAGAATTTTCGCCATTATTAGAGTTTTTTGCATAGTAATAATGAGGGTATATTTTATAGAAAAAAATCTTCAACTATAAAAATTATATTTTATTTTTTTCCCCCAATTTTTTTATTTTTAAATACAAAAAAAATGAAAGGATATAAAATAATTTATTATAGATTATAGTATTTATTATACTTTTTGTGTGAAACTTAAACAAAGCAATATCATTGTCAAAAATGTAGATTATATTTGCAAATTAATTCATATTAAATTTGACATTTTATTTATATATTATTTAATATTTATTGCTTTATACTTACATTAAATAATGGTATTACCCATTAAATTGTGATATACAAATATCATAAAGGTAAGATATCTTTTGCTAAATAAGAATACCTTAGATACAAGATACTATTTATGAAAAAATTTTATCTCATCATTATTTATTAAAGTATAAAAATCAGATTTTTATCTAATTTGTTTACCAAAAATATACATAAATATTATCAAAGCACATTTCATTCATAAATTAGCATGATACAATAGCATCGATCTTGAATTAAAATAAAATTACAATTAGATATATATAAGATTTGAAAATTTCATTATAATTGATAAAACATTTCAGATTACCAAAGATAAATTATTATTCCTATTAAAATAGTTTTTAAAAATAGCCGCACTGTTTTTAAAAGAAAGAATCAATTAATAGTTTAAAATGATAATATAATTCATTTTATTTATAAATTTGAATTTTAAAAAAAGTAAATTTGTTCAAATCCTTTGATTAACCTCCTGCGTTTATATTTAGTTGAAACCTGAAATCGAGATTATGATGCCTTATGTAATCATAAATAAGATTTAATCTAGGTATTTCATTTCATCCAGTTCTCCTGAAAGACTTTAGTTTAGAGCGAAAGATGTTTTTTTAAAGAGTGGTTCAAAAGTTCAATGCAAAAGTCCTTGAAATTCACATTATGGGTATTATATTGTCAAATCAGATTTTTCGAATTTAAAAATCTCCCCCCCCCCCAAAAAAAAATAAAAAAAATTTTTTTTAATTGAGAAATTCAAAATATCTATAACTTTCAAATCCAAATACGACATAATATCAATAACGTGATAGTAAATTTCAGTTTGTAAGCCTTACTTTTAAATAAAGTAACGTATAACTTTAGTACATTTCTCATTACTTCGAGCAAAAGATGTTTTATGCTCGTCGTTACTTTTAACCATCACTTACCTAGATATTAGATGAAATTTGAAAAAAATGAGGTAATAAATGTTCATTAATAAAATAAATTAGAGGAAAGAACCTTGTTAATGATCAGAAACGGCGAATAAAATTAAAAAAATATTGCGCATTAAATTTTTTAAAATATTTTTTGTAAAAATAATCACGCGTTTATATATTCTCAAATATGTCTCATTCAGAGTTGTTAACGCTCCTTTTTAAAAGTAGCTAACTCCCGCTCCTACCTTCTCAAAAGGAGCAGCTCCCGCTCCCGCTACTACAATTTTAAAAGGAGTTAGTTCCCTCTCCAAGTAATGGAGTGCCACTCCATAGCCGCTCCTTTGATTTTCATTTTTTTTTAGAAAATACACGAAACGAAATCACATTTCTTTTATTAACTTTTGAAAGTAATAAATTTTCTAAATTTGAATCTAAAAAACATCCACGCTTCTCCCCTAAAACCTGTTTAGCAATACTAAGCAGCCGCTCAACAGGAGCACTAGAGGGAATGGGGTATTGTATTTTATATAAATATTTTTTAATTCAGGAAATTTATCAAAAATAGCAATTTTGATATTATTTAAAAAATATTTGTACAATATATTATCTTTCTGATGATCAATTTCATGGAATTCAAAAAAATCTTCCTCACTGCAGGGTTACCGTGAACTAGTACTTGCATCAGGAGTTTGTTTTCTTAAAAAATTAATTAATTTATATTTTAGTTCCATATTTTGTGAACTATTCATTCCCAGTTTAATTTGAATGCAGGATGGATAATAGCAGCAATGATATTTTCATCATTATAAACATTTGAAAATCTGCAATAAAGTTATTTAAATAAATAATTTATTTTTTATTTCGATTTCTTCCTATGATGTATGGATTCATAATATCAAAAACTATTTTTTATCATATATCTATAAAATGAATATTAATATGACTTACAAAATTTTCCAAGAAATTTTCAATATAAAAAGAAAGAAAAATTTGATATTTAATATTTTAACTTATTAGATGAAAAACCAATATAAACTCGGCTCAACATTTAATATTGCATAAATTAAAATTAAATGAATTTTAATAAATAAATAAATAGATTTATTAATATTTAAATTTAATCTATACTTAAATTTAAAAGAGCGGTGGAGCGGCGCTCCTCCACTCCAGGCATAAAAGGAGCTAATTTCGGCTCCCGCTCCTGATTTTTAAAAGGAGAGGCGCTCCAGGTGTTTTTGAAAAAATTTAGCGGCACTCCAGGAGCGCCGGTCCTTAACAACTCTGGTCTCATTCACTACATTTTCATACATTTTTTCAAGGAGATTATCAAATGGTCATATTGATTAACAGGTGCGTACGCATGAATTCGCTATGGGTGATGGGGGGCGGGTGATACTTAATTTTTTATTTATGAATATTTTAAATATAAGAAATTTATTAGGACTAGTGACTATAAAATATTGACAATTTTTTATCACAAATCAAATAAAATTAATGATAAAATATTAAATATATATAATTGGCAAATGAATCACTAAAATATAAATGCCTCGAAAAAGTACTTTGTAAAAATTTTTTTGGCATTTAATATAAAAATTTTAATTATATTTTATTTTTTAAAAAAATGCTGAATGCACAAAAATATTCTTAAGAATTATTGCATTCATCATGAAAAAAATAATGGTATATCAAAAAATGGGGAAAAATATAATTAAGAAGCATATTATAAACATGAAATTTAATCTTATTTAAGATTGAGTTAATTTTTCAATGATTTAATCTTAAGAAAATAGTCGAAAATGTGTTTAAGATTATGCGAAGCATCTATGACATTTTTTGGAACATTATCAATCATATTTAACCCTTTTATACGATAGTTTGCATTTACAAAAGGATTCTCCGATAATAATATTTACTGATTTTTATGTATACTGCCTGATCAATCAAAAACCTTTTATTCATTTGAGTTATATAAAATGTTATTCATTATACGTGAAGTAAACCAAGATTTTGCTAATTCTGGAACTTATACCATGGGAGCTCCAATATTTAATGCTTGATTAATACTTACTAATTTATGAATCAGTTCTTCCATTCAATGAAGAGAAATTAGTCATATAATAATTTAAATAAAAACTATAACGGGACCCTTAAAATTAAAACGGGACCCTTAGGCTGAGCTTTAAATATCAGATTTTAAATTGTTTATCCAAAAAAATATTAAAATTTTAGTATATTTTGAATCGTTATATTTTCAAAAAATTGGATATTTATCTGAATCTCATATTAAAATGCAGTAAACAAATTTTAGAAGTTAAATATTTCAATAATTTAGCACCAGCAGCATTAAAGATAGTCAAATAGACTTCTGACGTCTTTGGAAAATAGGAAACAAAATAAGATGGATTGGCAATAAAATCGAAAACGATTACAATAAATAATTTTTACTATTAAGGGCATAGGTTTAAGCGATTATTTAGTAGAAGATTAGCTTTTACACTTGGAAATTGAAAAGCATAAAAATTATAGCGTCTTGGGTAGCATACTGCTTTCCAATTTAAATCGGATATTATTTTTTTTAACAAACCAAATTAGAATCTTATATAATTATTTTTATCTGAAACTAAAACCTGAACTGAACAGAATTATTTTTAAGGTGTATACATATCTGTTTAGTGTATAATTGGTAATTAGATAATAATTTTTTTAAAGTTTTTTTAATATTAAAATATATTTTTATTATTTAGTATAAAAAATGTATGTAACAATTTATTTTAGGCTCAGCCAATTTTTAATAAAAATTGTTTCAATACTTCTTCTAAACCACGTATATTGACTTCATGTTAATTTATTTAATATCTTATTTGGAACCTTCCATTTTATTAAATACATTTAATTAAGTGCATAATTTTGAATTAATCTATTGAAAATATAGTATACACTATATTAAAATATAGTATACACTATATTAAAATATAGTATACACTATATTAAAATATATTCGATCATAATATAATGGCAAAGGGAAACGATTCCTTTCAAATTAAACGCGAAACAGCAACCCAGACCGGAGATCGTAAGGACGATGATAAAACAGTTCAAAAGAGTAAAAAATTAAAAAAAGACAAATTTAAATTCTTTAATTTAACTAACAGGAAGCACAAACCGCGCAAGAAAAGGGAACACATTTCTTCTGATGATAAAAAATACGAAATTATTCCAAAAAATGACAGCATAACAAATATTCAAGATGCTTGTGATTTCAAAAATGATAGTATCGAAAGAGAAGAGCCGAAATATGATATCGATAAGAGTATTTCCTATTTTTCTGAATCAAACACCAACATAAGCTATGATCACTTGTCGCCAACGGATAGATTTTATTACAGTTGTGAAGATTTTTATGATATTACTTATCCTCAAAGACCCATGGGCAAAAGATTGATTAATATTGCTCCCCATACTCTGGCATGGAAGAGCGCCCATAGAAATATAGAGAAACTGACGGATGAATTAACTAAAAGTAAAGAAAACCTGGCAAACACACAATATAGAAATACAAACGATTATAAATCAACTTTCAAGGATTATAGTGAATGTTATAACGAACTCTTAAACAAGTACAACGTGTATGAGACAAATATCAGCGAAGATCTACGTAAAATACCTGATAATTCATATGGAGATAATCATATGCCTCAGGCCGATATTTATTATTCTAAAAATATGCTTTTTGAAAATAACATTAAAACAACGCAGATGTCTATCGATTGTAAAGAGGAGAAACAAATGGTAAAAATTGGTAGCAAAAAGGCTACTCAAACATCGATAAGATTCACTAGTACTCGCGAAATAATTACTACTATAGAAGAAACTAATAAAAAGAAATCCTTATCCAATGTTAATAAAAGTAAAGCCACGTCCAAATCTGCAAACTCGACCCTTTCAAATAAAAAACTTTTAGTTCTTCCTATCGGCAAAAATTCCCAACATAAAAAATCAACACATACGATCTCAAGCTCCTCCGATTCTCGTAGATCAAGTGATGCGACTCATTCCTCTAATTCTAGCACTTCTCAATCAACCAGTTCTGAACAAGATTATTATTCAGTCGCACCTTCTAATAAAAGTCATCAGAAAGATAAATCAAAATTCTCCAAGAACTCTATGGAAAACAAGCAAAGAGAATTCCAACAAGCACATAAAAACTTTGCTAGAAGATATGGATCTCTATACTTGAATGATATGAGCAGTTCTATGAGAGCCCTTTTTAGGATATTTTATTGTAACTATCAAAACAATGCTAAATCTTCGAAATAATTAAAATGAATTTAATCGAATTTTTAATAATGTATTTTGTTATTCGGGAATTAGTTTTTAAATATACCTATTTTTGTACAATACAACACTAACTTCTATAGAGATTGAAATTTTATAAATTTCACGATTCTTGTATATATATATATATATGCCACGTTGAAATTATTTTAATGAGTGAAAATATTTATCCAAATGAGTGGTTTATACTTATAATATTTTAAAATTAATATTATATTTTTTTTAAATGAATTGTGACTATATAGTATATGTATCGTAAAGAGCCCACATCCTTATATTATAATTTTATAAATTATCTTATTGAATTGTGAAATAAAATTTTTAGCTCAAATTGTCATGTGTAATTAATCATAAGGTTAAAAGCTATTATGAAATAAAAAAAGAAGTTAATAGTTATTATTTAATTTTAACAATAGTCTTATAATTATATTTTAATTTTATTAAGATAAATAAATTAAAATTAATCACTTTATAAAAAATTATATTTGATATATTATATTATTTAGTAATTTTATGGATCTATTATTAATAATTATAATACATTTAACTTTTGTCTTAAGACTTATCTTATATTACATTTCGTAAAAAGCATTTTTGGTTCATTTTTTTAATATACAAATGCTTTTTTCCAAAAATGTATAAATTATGATGAATATTTTTATAAAAAAATATTAACTTTTATATTCTTTCTTTCAAATTATTGTTTAAGTTATATGCATACATTTTTGGGGGTCAGGAATTGGGGGGAGGACTAAGGGGGATATTTTTTATTAGCTTAAAATGATATTCATAAAAAGCGGTAAATTTTTGAAGGGGAGGGATTTCTCCTTGCCCCCCCCCCTGGCTGCGCCTATGAATAGAACAAAATTACTCACAGTCGGAATTAATTATTATACATTTAAACGTAAATATGATAATATTAGTAGTAAATAGAGTGATTGAGAATCTAGAGGGAATATTAAATTCAAATTATTTGACAAATTAGTAACTCAACAAGTACAAATTATTACACTTTAAGTGATTTAGAATAAGAATGCCATATTTTGTAAAATGCCATTCACAAGGTATGGATTTTCTATATTTCTGGAGTACTTCATATTCTTTCTACGCTTGCTAAAAAATATTTTTTGTGTTCCAGCAACCACCACACTTAGTGAAAGAGTTTTCTCTACCGCTGGGTTGACATTTAATTCAAGAGGATAATCATTATATACATCCGAAAAATTTTAATAAAATTACTTAATCGATTTTGAATTTATAATTTCTCTTCAATAAGGATTTAAAAATATGTCGAGATATCTGTAGGGTAGTGTATATATTAGTTTTATAAGTTTATATAAAATATAATAAATTACTTGTATATACATTAATATAAAAGCATGGTAATAATTTATTCCAAACAAGTATAAGAATTTATTTAGAAAAAGTAAGTAGGCATATAATTGATATTCCTCTATTATATAGAATTAGTTACAAAATATTAGGTAAAATTCTACTTTTACAGACATATTTTACAGTTAGAGAATATATTACAGTTAATATTTTAATAAATTTTACTAATCAATGCTCTTGATAATAAATAAAGCAACAATTTGCATTCAATTATTTAACGCCATCTATTTATTTTAATTAATTAAAAATTAATCTTCATATTATTTATCCCACAATGTCTTTAAAAGATATTTTCTGATGTCCTTATCAATATTTTATAGTTTTCTGTAAAATATATAATTCGCTATATTGGTAAAAATTATTTGATTGTCATATGATAATTGATAAAATTAGATATACTGAAAATCTACGACATATTGATTATACCTGTGCGCCGACGAAGCTATCGGCTGCCTGTGCGAATTTCTAAAATCTAACCGGCGGCTGGTGGCCCGCCAATTTTAAGCCGCTGTTAACATGGGCGGCGTAGATTGGTGCACGGTTATAAAATTTTTATAACAGTTTATTTTATAGTTAATTTTTTAAAAAAATATTAAAATATATTTCATATTTGTTCTAGGTTTTTTTTTTATTAAAATTAACCTCCTATCTTGTAAAAATATTTTATGACTACACAATTTTCAATTTTTGAAATCTTAGGTCTAGAAATAGTTCAACTAGATCTGATTCCTTTTTTATTTGCCATATGCTTTCAAGCATAATTAATATATAATGTCACCTGGTTGGGACATTTAATTTTTAACGTTTCATATGTGTGGCATTGTTATTATCATTGCAATCGTTAATTTGAAAACAGGTATCTGGGTATAGATCAGTGCTATCAATATATTGCATATATGATGTTAGATCTATTGTACTTAGGCATTTTTTTTGATCTGCATCTAACTCAAATTAAATCTCTGCAGTTTTAAATCTTAGAGCAGTAATAATTTTTCTTATTCTTTTGATAGAATCTTCAACAAAAGATATTTAATACTATTCACAATGTTTTAAATTTGTGGTTTGTGAATGTGAAAAATTAGATGTTTTATTAAAACTGAACCAAGACTTACAATGGGTCAAGATACTTGTAATAAAAATAATGATGGATAATTTTTTTTAGATGTGATTTAGATGGACTTTTTATAGGATGAATTAAAATGTCAGGCAACGTTGTATTATGGAGCGTAAAGACGAGTAGAAGAAGTTTATAGGTTGTAGTTGTCATTAGTGATCTGCATCGGGCCTAATTTTTCAAGCCCGGCCCGGCCTGGAAATTTTTTTTAGAAAGGCCCGAGCCTGGCCCAAAGCCCGTTCGGGCCGGGTAGCCGGGCCTAACTTTGTAGATCTCTAGTTGTCATATTGAAACAAGACATACTTTTCTGTTTTGAATTTTCACCAGCTATCTATAGTTCTTTCAATGATTTATCATGTAATTCTTCTGCTCCACTTTTGTATTTTCTTTTTTTTACTATATATTATATGCTTATGCATGATAATACAAAAAATTAATTTAAAATTAGCATTGACTTTTAATAAAAATAAATATGTATAATATAAATATCGAAGGCTCTAAAAAGACCTTAATTTTATAATGAATATATACCTAAAAAACAAGTATAATTGTGTTTAAAAATTTCTAGTTGGAGTTTTTGTTTAAGAAATAAGGATTCGCGATTTTCGTTTGTTTTGTTAAAAATTTTTCGTGATAAAGTTTTCTAAAAAAAATATGTAGACTGTGAAAAATTGCCGTTAGTTGATATGACTATAGGTTGAAATATAAAGTTATTTAATTTTGAATATTTATTAATTTTTTCCCAACTAGTAAGAGGATTTGAATTAATTGATGAAGGAAAGGAGGAGACGCAGGTTGAGTCCCAATTAAGGGATTTCCCATTGGACCAGGGGGTGAAGGTTAAACCATCTGGTCTGAGGCCGTCCTGTAATGAGAGGTTGGGAGGTTCAAGGATGTTGTGTATTTTAGCCTTATTAAAAGCGTTATGGATGATTTTACTAATTGCTTTATGCCGGAGATGGCGACCTTGGCTGCGGGTGCAATTTAGGCCGTGTCTAGCATTAGTTAGAACGGGTAATCTGCATTGGTGGCAAGTGTGTGATTGTGTAAGCGAACATCTAAGTCTAAATCCTATAGTAACTCTCAGTTGGTCATTGGTTAAGAGATTATCTAAGGTTTGGCTTGGAAGTGCTTCGAGCCATTCATGTCTGCCGTATTTATCGTTGAATTGTAATAGTTGTATATCGCTAATATCGGTAGGGTTAAGAGTTTTTTTTAAATTTTTTTATTAGGGTTTCGATGATTGATTTATTAGAGATTTCGGTTGGAAATATATAACCGCCTGAGGTAAGTAGATTCTATCTTTCAATTGCTGCTGTTAGAAGATCATCATTGGGAGTTATGAATGATGAGATCTCAGAATTGAGCGATAGGCGATTTAAGATAAATAGAGATAGGGAAAGTAGTTCTAAGGGGATTAAGTCGATACTACCTAGTTTAGCGGGTAATTGGGCTAGGTGCCAATTAAAGTTTGATAATGAAAAGTTGAGAATCCTTTCTATAAAGATATTTAAACGAATATTGTGTTGAATGAAAAATTTTGAGGAGGTGAATGAGGAGGACGAGTGGAAGAGATGCGAGATTTTAGGAAGATATAAATACTTTTTTAATAAGTAAAAAAGCTGGTGCGATGGTATGTGGTTGATGAACTTTTCCAAGTTTTGCATCTCAGAAAAGGTTTTATCGATAATTTTTTCGGAAATATTATTATTGAGTAATGGGAAGCCCAAGAGTTGGATCTCTCCTTTTTCGATAAATTAATTTAAATATTTACTTGCGGCTATTTATTTTAATACAATAGTAGGAACTTCTATATTTAATTTCTAAAAAATAGGAAAATGGTTTTATTTTCAAATATGAATATATATTTTATAGTGCATGTAATTCCAGAATCTAGGAAAATATATCCCCGGAAAAAAAATCCCTGATAAATTCCCTGGTTAAAAATCCCCTTAGCAGAAAATAATTCCTCTTTTTTTTGATCCTATAAAATACTAAATTATTTTTAGAAAATTAACAAAATAGGAAAAAAAATCCCCTAATAAAATATTTAAAATTTTTGAGAAAATCAACAAAATAAAAAAAAATCCTATAAAATTTTTCCAAAAAAAATTTCCCAAATAAAATTGTTAAACAAAATTATGAATGATAACTAGTTTTAATATTTGACATTACTAAATTTTTAATTATTATTAATTAACCCTAACCAATATAATATATAATGTTATGTCTTTATCCCGAACCCAGGCTTGGTGAAAGTTAAACAAAACAATATTTAAAAAATAAATTAGATACCCACTCTCTTTGATATTAAGCAAAATATTATTATAAGCTAAGTAATGATAATGGCCAGCCAGATTATTAATTTTGGCTATGATTTATAAACTCATACCATTTTTGACTCGGATTTGCACTACTTTAATTAAATCAAAATGTTTTTTTAAATCCTTTCCTCGAAGATTTGAGGTTTTAAATATAACGAAAGTTAAATAAATCCAGCTCACCTTTACACATTTTTATCAACTTTTA